TCGACCTCTCCAAGTTCCGTTGTAATTGGGAACCGCGGTTTTTGATTTGTGCAGCGCATTACACACAATCTTCCCGTTACGCTTGGCTCATAATTCCTCTTGGTCAATGCTGCCATCATACTATTTATGTACCTACCTAGGTTTCAAGTACACTGACATATGCCAATCCTGCAAGGTCGTAACCTGACGGGCCCTACATACACCGAAGCTTCCTCACAGAAACTCAAGACTATCTGCTATGCCAGTGTGCTCTCACGGTGTCGCTTTTACTGCTGGCACTTCGTGTCGCAAAATCAACATCTAGATGGTCCATAGCTAATGCCTTAGCCTATGGGGCCTCTGCTAAATAATAGCTTAGCATATGGGTCATCGGACGTGCTCTATGTGCCCTGGTTTATATCGACGTTGCCATCTTGCGAACTCGCTGACATCTCGGCCTCACAAGCTGTAGAGCTGTGAAGGGTGGCTGTGGCAGTAGCCATACATTAGAATGATTGTTTGCTGGTATCAGCAAGCTCATGATACGTCTTGTCCAGGATCGATGGTTTTCTTCAGAGCCATAACAACGACACGATTGGCATTGCGACACGCAACCAATGATCTCTCGACCAGGTTATTGTACAGCATGATATCGGTACCGGGTAGCTGACCCTTGAACCAAACATTGGTAACCTCATCTCGTGTGGGCAGGTAAGCGATGCAACAAGCAGCATAGATCTTGTGGTAATCGGCAACGGCTGGGTCGAGAACGATGGATGGTGGGCTTGTGGCATCTTTGGCGACCAGCGCTGCGACGCCTCCCGCCACAGTGTCGACACAGTCAATACCCGCATCTGCGATGGCGGCCGAGGCCACAGTGATGCAGCCGCTTAGCACATTCATCATGTCCCAGCCATCATCGCGTTGGTTTTCAGGGGCATTGCGATCTTGATCGCCCTCTATGACAGTGACTATAATATCAACACCGCTCTTAGGCCAGCGGTCTGCGATGATAGCTCCTCGCAATGCGGTCTCCAAGTGTACACCGAGATCCCGCTCGCTCGAATCCCGCAAGTATCCGCGACGTTGTTTCGTCGCAAACGGCGCATATTTGACATGAGTTGTCAGAATGATGTGTGGTGAGAAGGGCGCAGATCGAGGGAGGGCTCGTGGACCGTGGACAGTACAGGTCAACTTGAGGCTCGTGTTGCTGGGACCAGTCGCATTCGGGTTCTCGAGCTCCAAATAGGCAGATCCAGAAGCAGACGGCGTGACGCCCGTTTTCAAGACTACACGTAGAAGTTTAGCAGATAGAAGGGCAACCGGCGAACAGGATAATCGTGCGGCGGCTTGCTACGTACAAATCTTGCGAATAGCATTTTCGGGCTTTTCTGTACGAATCCGAGGGGGAGGGGGGCTGTCGTAAACCGGAGGTAGAGTAGTTCCCACGGGCCCGTTAATCCTTCTTCTGTCTGTCATGGCGGCTTGTTGGTTGCGACGAACTGGGCGAGTGTAAAATCATATGCACTGGTAGCTTTCTGTATCTAGGTATTGGAGCTACCGGGAAATCGGAGCCCACCTAGCTCTTATCGATTTGCCCCACCAGCAGCTGATAGACTCCACTAGAGACCAGCCTTTCCTTAAATTTCATCTAACAGAAATTTGCAGCTTCATCCTCCGAGTTTCTTCATACTCATACCTACCACATGCTTGCGACATGTTTTCTAACGCCCTGCCTCAATCGCTTTGAGGACAACTCTTCGAGGCCTGAAGGGAAGCACTACTGGGATGATGGCATGAACGAATACGGGTATCATCCAAGCTAAATGGAGCTTCTGGCGTTCCGATAGTCTTGCAGAGATTGGGTAGGAGGTAAGCTGGAAACCCGTCCTCAGCATTTGGTCTCAAGGCCAAAACCTTTCCCTTTCCCTTTCCCCCGTCGTCGCTAGTGATGAAATCTTTACTACTGTTCTCGCGATCTCCTGAGCGTACCGAACAAACATGCACTACCATCTGAAGCACCATCCTGCCTTCATGTTCTTGAAACCTTTCTTGGGTCAACAGCTAATATTTGGGCACCAGTGATGTAGCAGAGGAGATCAGACCTATATAGGTTTTGTCGCTTTCAAATATTTGATTAGTAGGTAAGTTATCAGTGCCACTCTCTTTTGATCCTTTTCATTTTCCTGTGATGAGACCTACATCATTCAGTTCTGCTTCTGAACGTAATGAAGAAACCCATATACCAAAAACTTACTCTGATCCAACACCTCTTCTCCACTCTATTAAAGCATCATTTACGACGACACACTCAACTAACTGTTGCTCAGATTGCCTTAGATGTCCTTACATAGCCCTCGTAAGTTTGATATTATGTACGAATTCAGCAATGGTAAGCCATCTTCATTTATTACTCGTACCTTCTCCCATCATGATGAGAACTGTTTATCCATTCAACTATCTCACAATGTGTCGAGCCACCCTCCCGCACCGGAGTCGGCCCTTCTGGGCTGGCGATGATCGGTTGTGGAGTTGCTATTTGGCTGTTCTAGTTTCGTGCTAGGATTGTTGATAAGTGTCATGCTGGCTTCCGAGTTCTCCATTGTCATGCCCCGTCTTGGGGTGTGGTGTGGAGAGCCGACACATGTGAATGAGTAAAATTGGTTTACTGAATTGAAAACATTATCGTACTTTTAGACTTTGCCGGTATTATGACCTCGCTGACCCGTCTGAGTACCAGATCTTCTCTACATTACATGTTTCATCCTGCAAGTAAGGTAGGGAGGTGAGCAAAGTAGGCAATCCTAAAACCATAGGATAAGTATCGTAGCCATCCATGATGGATAATATTGCATTGTGCTCATACAAGCGCCCGGATGATTTACTGTCTATAAAATAAATGATTACAGAGGCGTCTTATTCTATGATCTCCTGTGCATGACTCCGGCAGCAGCCTGGTGGTTAGGGAAGATTAGTGTGTCCGCAACAACAACGTTCTCTCTCCTTCCGGCAACGAAGACGACGACCTCAGCAATGTCGTCGGGAGTAAGAGGGTCACAACCGCTAGAAGTGTCATTAGTGATACGGGATCTATTACGCATGGAAATAACCGGCAGAACTCACGCATACACGGCATCGGCCTTAGCCTTGTCGCCGTAAAACCGAACAACAGAGAACTCCTATATCAGCATTAGAATATCATCCAATCATCAAGTCACTCAGTTGGGCAGATAGACACAAACGTACAGTCTCGACCTGCCCAGGATCGATCTCAAGCACGCGGACACGCGAAGCGATGAGTTCTTTACGCAGAGCGTCAGTGAAGCTGCGGACGGCGGCCTTCGTGGCGCAGTAGATGCTGCCGCCGGCGTAGGGCTCGCGGCCGGCGATGCTGCCGATGTTGATGATGTCCCCCGAGCCGCCGTTGGGGCGACGCAGGAAGATGGGCAGGATCGCCTGCGTCATGTTGATGAGCCCCGTCACGTTGGTGCTGAACATGATGTTCACGTCCTCCTCGGCTATCTCGGGAGCTTTGGCTACGCCTTTCACGAGACCGCTGTTTCTGCGTTAGTTCATTTGGTGTATACATAGATAAATATATATATATATGTTGGTCTTCATCATTATTTGGTCCTTTTTTGACTCATCGTCTTTTTCTAGTGTTTCGGTGCTTTTGCTTTGCTCTGGTTTTTGAGGACTTGCATGCCTTATAGTCGTCGTCCGTAATTATAATGATCGTAGACATGGACAAGATGATATGAAAAAAAAAAAAAAAAAAGAAGCAATCAGATAGATAAGAGACTTACGCATTATTCACCAGAACATCAATCTCCTTGAACTCCTCGGGCAACTTATCCACGAAACCGCGCACCTCCTCAGGCTTGCTGACATCGAGCTGCACGGCGAGCACCTGAACCTTCTCCTCGCCGACCTCGGCCTTGATATCCGCGGCGATCTGCTTGAGCGTATCGACGCGGCGCGCCGTGAGCACGAGCTTGAGCCCGCCTGCGGGCGCCGCCGTGCGCGCGAACTCGAACGCCGTGCTGCGGCCGATGCCGGAGGACGCGCCCGTGATCAGCACCGTCTTGCCGGCGAGGCGCTTCGCGACTGCCGTGGCCATGGTGCGCGTGGCGGATCGCGGGGTGAAGAGTGTGCGTAGGTGAGAAGATAGAAGGGGTGTTCCGGGCCGGAAGGGGAGGCTGTGAAGAAGCGTGCGGAATGTGTGGTGGTGGTGATGGCGGAGGGGCATACAGATGGGATGGGCAAATAGCCGGATGGTAATTGAAAGACCGGGATAGACAGAGGAAGAAAAGAGAAAGAAGAGATAAGGTAAATATAACAGTGCTTGGAAATTACTGTTTGCTCTCTTCTTATTCGTCAATTCTGCTCAGAATTACAGTAAATAAGATAAGTGTTGTACATTCGATATCGCACCAAAAGACGTAGGCACGATGTCGCCATCGCGCGGAGGTTATTTGCGTCGACCCCGCCATAGCTGGATGGAAGGATGGATTGATGGACCAGCCTTTTCCGAACTACCCCGCCGCCATAAAAACCGCCGAGCTCCCGGCGGCTTTTCCATAGGATTCATACCTACCATCTGTCCTATGTTTCCTCGGAAGACACATGAATCGTGAGTACCTGTCGATACCGAATGTTTTGCCGAGCTCGAGATTTTGAGATTTTTCATTCTATGAGTTTTCGTTATACAGCTGTCTCCTCCTAACCTATTACTACCTTCTCTTTATTGTATCCTCTGTTCCCCGGGCCCCCAGAGCCTCTACAGTTGAATCAACTTCTTCCACTCTTGCTCCGGAAAGCAATGAGATGAGATATATGATCGAGTCCTTGTGGTTTGATTGGGAAGGTGAAAGGAAGACATAGGTCTATGTGCATTCTTATGTTCATTTACTTCTGTGCTGTTAGTAGTTGGCGTGCTTTTGTCTTATGGAGATGAATCTGAGAGCAGTATAGATCCTTTTAAGGCGACGTGAATTCCACCAGACCTATTGCGAACACAGGCTGAGGTAGTGTAGTGGTTAGCACGTAGGATTTTGATTTGAATCATTCAAACGTTCCTGAATCCCCGGTTCGAACCCGGGCCACAGCTTTGCTTTTTTCTTTTTGGTTTGTTTATATGTTCTTTGTGTTCTGCAAGGCAAACTGGCTTTTTGGTCTCCCTGGTGCTTCTACCGGCCGTGCCCCACAGGGCCAGGCAGTAAGAGGGGCATCATGGCAAATATTCCAATCGTATCATATCCAGAGGCTCTGGTATTTAGAATAAGCTGCAGTTCTTATTTTGAATATTGTCCTGGGGAAAGCGATGGCATGTCAAGTAAGACAATTCTAGCTGTATGTCTTATAAGGGCTGGTTCCACCAGTCCAGAAACAACCTCCCTAGGTGGCCTCTGCAGTAGATTATAGCATTCTTTTAATAGACTTCCTCGAGACGAAAAAGAGTGGTTATAGATTTAACTGTTATTGACCTAGTCTAAGAAATACTCTTCTTACATGACCTCTAGGCATTTGATATTAGTCTCCATCTCCAGTCTCTAAAATCCCAGTGGATGTAACCACATACTGCTCACACGTTGTGACGTTGCGTTGCTTCGATTTCTCTGTTCGCTTGTATGGATATATTCGCTTAAAAGAGAAAAGAAAAAAGAAGGACAAGGGGGAAAGGACTGTTGCGATACCCCTTAGAATCTCCTACTCAAACGTAAGAGGTCGGTAGGTGAACACATTACTGCGTGCTGCCATGATTGCTCCCAGGTGGTAGTTTAGAAACAGCCTTGACAATGTCTCCACCGCAGAGAGCAGCGAAATCAGGTATAAAATTATGATTGAAGGTGGCCCATAGTGTTCCATATTGACCTTCCCCGCGATTATTTCGTCTCGTAGAGGCCCATTAGTTCTCGTTTCTTCTGTATCTTGTCGCGTAAACTGAGTTGTAGTCCCTGTCAATAGGCGGAGCTCTCCTACTCCCCCATACACCCAGACAGTTCTTATAGCCCGTCAAACCAGCTTTTGATGGCAGCTATTGCAATGTCGTATTCGAATGCGACGGTGTTCTTCGGAGCTAGAGGCAAGGGCTTATCCCAAGCGTGTTCCTCGCCTTCAACAATCCGGACGCTGATCTTCTTGCCGTGTTTCTCGAGTCTCTCTGCAAACAGCTGACCTTCTGCTAGGCCCATATCATATTCGCAGAGACACAGATGAACGGGCGGTAGTCGATCTACCAGTTCATCCGGCATCAATCCCGGCGACAGGCGCGGGTCGGTCCGCTCACGTCGCGGAATTGGAGGGTGTAAATACGACGCATCGATCAGGTCTGTCAGTCCTGCCCCCAGTGTCCTATCGGGGTGTTTGCACGCTTTTCGCTTCTGTGGTCGGTCCAGTGTGCAGTCGACCGGCGGGTAATATAGTACGAGACCGGCAATATTGGGTACAGGTCCTGGTATTTCGTAGTCCCATCTCTTGGGGTCTGCCAATACGACCCAGCTACTTAACGCCAGGTTTCCACCCGCAGAGAAGCCGGATAGTACGATGCGATCGGTGTCGATGTTGTATCGATCTGCAAGCCGAGATATCTGGAGGATAGCGTCGGCGCAGTCCTCTACCGCCGTTGGAAATGGATAGCTCGGAGCGAGACGGTAGTTGACGGAGAAAACCACGGCACCTAGACTGCTCACGAGAGCGTTGGCCCATCGCGCATCATCGGTGCCCTTGCCGAGAATGTACCCGCCGCCGTGGAAATTGATGACAGCCGGTCTCTTCCCAGCAATAGATGGTTGTGAGTTATTCGGCGGGATCCATACGTTTGCGCTGAAGACCTCTTTTCCTTTCCAGTGGCTTAGTGTGGAATCGAGCCATATTTCCTCCGTAGGAGGTGCTGCTGGTATGCCTGAGCGGTTACCGAGCATGAAGCCAATGCCAGCGAGGAAACGGAGAGCCGAAGCGTGGGCCCCTAGCAGCCAACGTGGGCTCTTTTCTGCGCGGTTCACATAGTCTTCATCCACCGGTGGTGGACCGATATCGTGGATGGAAGCGACTTCGGCGGTATCAACTTTTGATTTGTCTTTATTGTCAGTTGACATTGTTGTGATATTCCCTGTGTATTTACTTAGTGTTTGCCGTGCGATTATGTAGAGATCTTGTCCCTGAACTCAATCTTGAACACAGGTGATGCAATTAAATAAAATGTGGAGATGTGACGTCGTACCTTGCTTGCATTGTCAACCCTTGCAGCGCCTAGAATCTTGGGATCTCAGGTGAGAAACCTGAACAGGAAAGAAGTCATGCGCATTTGCCACATCAACCAAATCTGGTTGCGTACCCTCGCAGGCTGTGTTGGAGAAGGTGGCTTGGGTGGGCAGCTATTTTATGGCGTGGACTTCCACTTGGCATGCTTCAGTCAGCACGGCAGCCTATCAGGTCTGCTGGAAACCCAATTGTCGGAATCGAAATGACCAGACAACGCACGGTTATACTTTGTTTAAAGGAACCATGTCTCTGCACGGCTGAAACAGATGACATACCACGTTGACGGATGATATGACTGCTTAATACGAACTTGATCAACCCATTTATCATTGCACTAAGATCTGATACTACAGTATCAAGGCGTCGCTACATGCCCGCCCATTCTAGACAGAATGTTCTAACTGGTGGCGCCACTGGCCCGCCTCTAAGTTTAACTTGCTTGTTCTCTTGATTCTGTGATATGCTCAGGCCGTCTTCTTCGAGATTCTTTCCATCGGCGACGGCCCCACCAATAAGATATCCCTTCTTGACAGTGGTACCAAGTCGCCCACCTCCCACAAGATCCATCATGGTGATCTCCTCATCCCACCCGAAGTGGACCCCGGCAAAGTGACTGTGGAAGCGCAGAGGATCACCGGGGTACACGTTATAGTCGCAGCCGAAGCGAAGGCCGGGCATCATATAGTATCCCTTGTCGTGCAAGTGCGCGAACAGGGGATATGATACAGGCACGTCTACGGTAGCTGAGGGCTCTGGCTCCGAGCGCGGTGTGGACGGTGTAAGAAAGCTGCTGGTGGTGGGCGTGAGTAGATAACCCTCAGCTTCGCTTGGCAAATTTCCGATTGATTTGTTTGATGTAGGTGACGGTTCGAAGAGACTACTGCTGCCATCTACCTCCATGTTGCCGCCAACATGATCATTGGTAGGCGAGTCCTCTGGATCCTTTGTTTGTTTTGTCCTCTTCTTCTTCTTTGACTTCCCTTGTGCCTTGGGACTATTACGATTCTGGCTCTCGATTATAGCCATCTGCATCTTCTTACCCTGGTTCTTAAGCGATTGTACATAAGCTCGTCGTGACGGTTCGTCGAATGTTGCCAGCCGGGCTGGATGAAACGTGGCATCGTCGACGAGGTGAGCTACTTTCTTTTCTACTAGGACTTGTGCTTCTTCTGGCATAAGTTCTAAAGGGAGGCCCATGAAAATGTTTTGTTGAGGGTTCTGGGGAATAGTCCCTACAAAGACCGAGCATATGTTGTGGTTTCTGCGTAAATACATCACATCGTCTATGTCGAAGATCAAATATCTGCCCGCAACCTTGGATATGCTAACCAGAGGACGGTCGTCTGATGAGTTTGAAGCCATCGTCACTGCGAAGCTGTTCTATCTGGGAATGAGTCAGTCGGACAATTCTCTCCATGCTTGCGGTAATACGGTAAAGTGTGTGGATATAAATCATAAACCAGATATAGTTGTTATCAACAGAAAGTGTTATTCAGTGGATTGACAGATATTGATTGGATATAATCATCATCTGAAGGGTCGAAGGGGAAAAGAATCTGTTCGACTTACCTCATATTGTGGTTTGGGAGTTGCAGAAATTTGATCTGGTTCAAATTTGGAGAAAAGTTTTGGAGACGTGAGGGTGGAGACCAGAGTTCGGTTAAGTCCTTAACCAATGATATGCAATCCTTCGCTAGATAAGATAATGCCGTTATAGGGCAACCGGCCATAAGACTCAAAGAGCTGTTGAATATTTGTAGTCTTAGAAATCCATGCTTGGCTTTGCGGAATCTCCTGATTTGTGTTCATTCTCATCGTTATCGGCTGGGGGGAGGTAGAATGGCTTGATTATCAGTCCCTTTGACCTACTAAGGCTGAACGATTGATCATCAAGTGCTGAGTGCGACCCGCCTCCTTTCTCATGGAAAATCGGCAGACTGTGGACTTTGATCAAGCCTTGAACTTTCTCATCGTCATTCCCCTCTTTCTTCGATGACGGTGGAGGTTTATGGATAGATGTAGATTGTAGGGGGATGAATTCGAGTGCACCATCACACAACAATTCCATCCAACGCGTGAGGCCTGTCGTCCGAGGATAAAGGGAGAGTGGTAATGTTAAAAGCACGGTCAGATTTTTGGGATATCGCCTTAGTAAGGCCCTTAGAGCGTGCAAGAATTGTAGCACTTCCTGAGGTAAGGACGACGAACTCGAATACATTGTCGGGGATAAGAGATTAGGGACTATTACACGATGGACAGACGACGGTGTAGAATTCGCCAGTTTCGATGATAAGTCTCTGATGAAGAGCTTGAACGGAGACATCTGTTGAGCTCCGGGTTTTGAGAAAATCATAGATTGATGAAATACAATCTGGCCCTTCACGTCGCCAGGGGACAGTCTTTTCGTAAGGTCAAATGAATGACAGAAAGGTGCTGTAGCGCCGGAGCTTGATGCACTCTGAGCTCTTTGGGCTTCTCTATCTGATAACTGTGTAAGTCGATTACGAGCCTATATACGGAGAGGGGTGGCTCATAGCATACCTCTCGCTGCGCTTGCAGAGCCCAGACTCTCATATCTCCATGCGATTTTCATTTTATCTCCCGAGGATGCTTCCGACGAGCCAGAAGACTTCGACTCGGTTGACAGACCAGGTAAATCCGCTCGCCAACCTTCATGTAGACCAAGTACATGAATTTGATGCCCCTGTATTAACCCCTCGGCTGCATAGTAGCGAAGTAGCATGCCAGCAAAATCTGTGGTTCCATGCTCCCCGATGAGAAGCGATGTACCAAGAGGTATGCCTGAGTGACCAGCTAAAAGATTGTCTAACGACGCAGTTCCCGAGG